TGAGGACCGTGGCAATATCTACGTGAGAAGCCCGGGGGGTACAGTTAACCAAAAGAGTCGTGGAGTCTGCTAGGCTGCGGACAAGGCTCGCTCCTGCCGGAGTGAGGACCGTGGCAATATCTACGTGAGAAGCCCGGGGGGTACAGTTACCCAAACGGAGTGGTGGTAGCTGACAGGTGGTCCTGGGCGTCATCTACGTCGGAGAACATGACGGCCTATGGCTTCACCTGCGGACCGGCGAAGCATCCCCAGTGAGCGGCGACAGAATATCTTGGGCAGGCCTCAAGAGGAGAGTCGAGATCGTCGCCGCAGTGCTGACCTTCGTTGTGGTGCCGAAGAATTACGGGTTTTTTTTTTCCTTCTTCTTCTTCTCGGTGAACGGAAAAGGAACGGAGACTTCCAGACGACGGGCACGATCGCCAGGCCGAGTGGGGACACTGCGGCAAGTGGATGGCGCCGACTGGAGGAGACGCTTATGGAATTTCGCCAGACAACAGCGGGTGAGCTCCTTTCCCGTTTTTTCCGAGGTTCACCATGACCAGAGAGAGCGTTGGCTTGCGGACCCGCGGCGGGGTTTGTGAGCTTTTTGGAGCGCGCAGGTCTGGAGAAACAGATTCAAATATAAATCAAGTTAATGCATTTTTTTTCTGCTGGCGTTTTCGGATTTCCTTGCCTGCAGCCACAGTTATTTTTTTTTCTTATTTTGTATGAGTACTGCTCATGGGGGAATCTGGAACGTGCGGGTTTGAGTCTCACCAGGCTTGGTTTTTCTCTCTGTCACCCAACAGGTCCTTTCGCGAGAGGTATAGCTTCTTTGTTGTTGTTTTTGTTTTTGTATGCTACGCGTCTGTCTCGTTAAGGGTGACAGATTTTGCGCGAACAGCAAGTGTACTGGTAGAAATGGAGCGTGCTGGTTAAGTTACGGTGTTTGTGGAGAATAACATAGAGGACGAAAACAGGACGACACGTTTCTCCAACTGGCAGCATACATTTATTTTGACGCCCGTCACCGAACGCGACAGTCACCGCGCAGAGTTGGAAGGGTTGAGGAGGACCGGGAAGGAAGGGAGGGTGGGGGTGGAGAGAGGATGGATTTGGAGGGAAAGAGAAACATGTTTTTAGCCGGCAGCGCACGCCGAAGTCAAAAAGGGGGGGGGGGGGGTTATAAGGGAAGGGACCTTGAGGAGGGAAGGGCGACCCTACTTCAAAGGCGCCTACGTTTGTCGCAATTCCGGACGCAGAAAGGAAACGTCGGCGTCGGAGAGACAAAGCGATGGGGACCCGATGTTTTGCGGTGAATGGCGCATAGCGAAGGCTTCGATAATCTCGCGGCCGTATCTTGACCTGTGTGTGCCCACTGTCGTGGTGGCCGGAAACTCTGGTTCGCAGGAGGGGCAAGAGCCGACGTGCTGGGCAATTGGGTGCAGGGAATGGAGGGATGGGTTGGAAGCCGCCTGTTGTACCTCGTTGGCGTGCTCCCTCAGGCGGTCGTTTAGACATCGGCCTGTCTGGCCGATGTATTGCGCACCGCACCCGAGCGGGATCGAGTAGACGCTGGCCTGTCTACAAGGAACGAACTTGGTAGCGTGTTTTTTGGGGCACGGCTTTGGGGCGGTTGGGTTGTTGACCTTCCTGCAGAGCGAGGAGAGCCTGAGGCGACATGAAAAGAACACCTGCGTGTCATGTCGGAGTGCTAACGATTTGATTCTGTGGGTTTGATTCCACAGCAAGTGTACTTGCAACATTTTTGGTGGGGAGGTGTTATGTAACGAAGGATTTTGTTAGAAATAAGTAAGATTTGTTTTAGAAAAGTATATCTTTCTACAGTTGCGTTGGATTTGTTTTGTTTTTTCCCCTTCATGTTGGCGTCGCCGTTTTGGAGGGAGCATTTTGCGAGGGCATTGCGGCCGAGGCGGGAGAGCTTCTTCTGCGGTCGTTAAAGGAGGACCAGCAGAGATATTCTTCAGCCTGGCGGAAAGTCCTCCTCGCCCTGTTTTTTTCCCTTTCTCTCCTGTCTTGCAGCACGGCGAGGCGGGGGGAAGGGTCCCTTTTTGCGCCGGCTTCTTCTGAGAGGATAAGCCGAGAAAATCCTCATTCTGACCGACGGGCGATAGGTGTGGCAGCAGCGACTTCGTGACTTACGGGTACCTACAGCTCCTATAGCGTACTCTGACCTATTTTTTGGCGCTCGCCAAGCCTAGCCCCTCGGGGGCAGGTTTCACGGAGCTGCAAGGCTGCACCCTCCCAGTCACCGATTTTCAGCTGTCAAATTTGTTTGGCTGTAGCCCGTGTCAAAATAAACGCAAACTTGGGAGCTGCGGTGCATCAACACACCCATTGAAGGTACGTTTCATAGATATTCTTGGTTGATCAAGGAGCTCAGAACACATGCGCGAGATGTGGTGACTTCAATATGTGAGGATAACTTACATATTCACAAAACATTCCATCTTCAAAAAACCGGCTTATTACGCTCAAACCTGCCGCAAATTGCTATGTACCAGGCGCGGGCATCTTGTAGCGGATCTCTGTTTTCGTACAGCGGGCACAAATTATTGGAGAACTTTAGTATGTTTTCAGGCCACGCTATATTTAGCGGAAACTCGCGCTGCCACTTCGATGCATTCTCTGAAGCGCGCGTCTAAAGTGGTAGTGGGCCTTTGAAAACGATTTACTAGAATCTCCTGTTGTGTGTCTAACTCGCAGAACATGATGGCCTGCAAAATATATGAAATTCATATTTACACATTCTAACAACCATCTGAGGTGAGAGGGCATTTCTGGTGTGGATGTCAATATCAAAGTTTTAGTGGGTCGCTTTTAGCACTTCGATGACCGTACGGCCCGTACCCCACAACGATATGTAAGCTAGACTCGCTGTGAACATCCTTTATCGAGTGCGGCTATGGAGTGGGAAACGCAATATTGGCGAGTCTAGCGTGTCGTATTATGGTTCAACTTTGCTTGTATTGGTACTATAGCACGGGCCGCGCGCCGCTTTGAAGTATTTGTTGTGTCTCAAATAAAGACTAAAGCAAAAGCAGACAATTTTTTTTAATGTGGCACAGAATTGTAATTTAACATTATAAAAACATTTTAGGCGCCTTACACCATACAGTTAGCACGAACAAACTATCGCCGGTCTTTCTCCTCGCCCCTATTTTTTATTTTTTTTTGTTCTTAGAAAGGAATGATGTTTAGAAAGCTGTTAATACGAGTATCCAACCTAAGCGGTAGATTTTAGTGCGAGCCAATACATTGCTGTGGAAAATAGCAAAAAGCGCCGATGTTGTTCGCGCGAGCAGTGTCGCGTAATGTACGCGTACCGCTACACAATCAACGGAAACGGAGTAAATCAGCAAAATTAGGGGAAAAAAAGTGGTGTTAATTTTTTATAGTTCAAAAGTTGTTGTTTTTATATAATCAATTCGGTAAGGAGTGCTTCCATTGGGCATCAACCTACGAGGCATCAGTTTGTTCTTGTATACTAAATTCTGCATGGCCCTTGAGTAGAAATGGCAATATTGTGTTCGTGCTTAGCGTGTCACGCACAGTAATAAGACAAGTTCATTGCTTGAACATTTAAACAAGGCCTTTCTTACATCAAATAGACATTTTGCGAGTACGCTCTATTACTGGTGGTTCATGAAATAATCTACGTTGTTTATTTAGAGGAAAGGAAGTGGGGTGGTGAGGGGAGGGGGAATTGAATACAAAAGGCTGCTCAGGGAACCTCAAATTTTGTAAATAGTTCGCTCAACCTATAATCTTCAGTTAATTAAATCACTTTTGCTTTGTTTGTTTCAGAGCTTTAAACAGTCGCGCCAAAGGCCAAGATGAGCGAAAAGTCAGATTCCCCTGTTTACTTGATCAAGAAGCGTATGCGAGATGGAACTGAAAAAGTATACGTGTGTAACCGTAGCAATCTCCGACGAAGCCTGAACCTCACTTTTTCTGAAACCTCGGAGATGACTGCTTTTGACGACTTGATAAAGCAAGCCAAAGCCGTTAATAGGTGTGACTCGTTGTCAGCTGTGATAATCAAGGCGCTGCGACGATTTCTTGAAACACGGAATTCAGAAGAACGATCGTCGAATGCTGTGTGCAACACACCGACGCCGCTGCATCAAGAAGCGGAATCGCGCGCGATCACGCCTGACCCTGTAGGGGATCCATGCCTAGTTGTTTGCGACAAAGCCGCGCTATGGAATGTCATTCAGACTGTAGAGAAGCATAGTTCAGAGTGCAAGGAAAGTCTTATTTTGGAGAAAGTGACCGCCTGGGGTTTCGCATCACGAATACATTGTAAGTGTATTAACCATTCACTGGTGCTCAACACAAGCACGGTTGTCGGTTCCGTCCGGGCTGTAGACTGTTTGCTGACGGTGGCGTATGCCTCCTCTGGAGTTCTGGCGACGCAGTTTGAAAAGTTTTGCAATTTTAGCAAATTGCCATACTCCCCTCGCACTGTGGAGAAATTGCTTGTAGATATCGAAGGTGCTGTAGAGTTGCTCAAGCTTGAAAGCCTGGCAGCCGCGCAAGAGGGCGAATCAAGGGCCACCGAGCAACATGACCCCACTTCGACAGCAATTAGTGTCGAGACTGATGCTCGGCACGCTTGCCGGAAGAACTCCACTCACACAGATGTCGTCGCGCTTGGTCAAATGACCCACAAAGTTGTAGGGATTGTTCACGTAAACAAAAAGGATGAACTATCTTCCCAAAAGCACGAAGCGTTCGGTACCAAAAAGCTGTACGAGTACTTCGATTCTAAAAAGATCTCCGTGCTAGATCACGCACACGACCGCAACACCACAGTCAATAAAATAATCAGAGAAAAAAACGGGCCATCCAACTCCAACGACCGCTGGCACGCTGCGAAGAGCCTCAAGAAAGGATTTCTTGCAATTTCATCTGGACCGAAGAGGAACGAGGGCAAGACATGGCACGTGGAGCTGTCCGACAAGTGCCAAGCGGTCCGTAACCACGCCTACTATGCTATGGCCGCTTGTGAGGGGAATCCAACCAAGCTAAGAGATATTTTCATAAACTGCGTAAACCATTTTGAAGGTAAACACGAGAAATGCAGCGAGGAATCAATTTGCAAAGAAAATGGACATGTCCCGACAACGCTGCTCGTGAAAGACCCGCTAGCGTCGGAACTTCTAACAAAATTTCTGAAATCAACAACCATCTACAAGAACGCGGAAGATTACGTAAAGTCGAAGGATACATTCTATGTAGAGTCATTCAATAATACTATGCTAATTTACCTCCAGAAGAGGATTCATTACCAGGACAGAAGCTACAAACTGAGGCAGAGCTTGGCACTCCTAGACTGGAATGAGCATGTTGGGCGAGGCTACACTTCACGTTACTCTATTGAGGACTGTCGTCATCCAGACTGGCAAGGCGGGAAAAGGAAGTACTTCAGGAAGACATACAGGTAGAATATTTTGAAGTGTACAGTGTTGCCATGGAATACTAATCCTCTATTCTTTTCCTCCAGCTTCGTTCAAAAGATTCGGGAGTTGGTGCTTCGGTCTGCTGCCCTGGGAGATGCCAGCACGGTGAATGACGACTCCCTTGTGAATGACGAGAGTGTATAACTTATAGGTATGCCTAATGTAAATTTAAACTAGTACCATTGACGTATAATAACAAGCAAGCTTATTTCATTAGAACAGTTGGGCAATTGTTGTGTGTACTTCTACATGTTTGTTTGTTTTTATTTCCCAGCTCGGGACATCACTGGACAAGGGACAGAAAAAGCCATTCCGCGGACTCAAAGGTGTACCTGTAATTATTATGCAAATATACAATTTTCATGACAATCTTTTGTCGTTGCCAAATACAGATGACACACAAGAGAAAGTGAACGCTAACCGGTACATACGATTGCGACAGAGCTTCAACCAGGGTGTGATCTTCCGAAGTACAAATTCCGAATAAACGCCCGTCGAGGGGTTTCGGAGTATATAAAGTGCTCACCCTTTTACACTTAGCGCATAAATAGATCAGAGCTCAGCAGAATGTACATCACCTCTTGGCTGTGCCTCTCGTGAGTCTTGAACGAGATATTAATAATTTCGATAAAAAAATAGATTAGCTGAAGAGAAAAATTAATTTTACTGCAGTCGAGACTCACAAGAAAAGCACAGCCTTTTACGCACAGTATATTGCGAGTATTTTCTGACGCACCGCGCGTGTTCTGGCATTGGCAATATTTGTTTCGGTGTTATACGTATATTTATCTAAGTTAGGCTCGATATCTGTCTGCTAGTGAGTGATACACTGTTTTTCCGTTCTCGTTTTTTTCCAATTTTTTTTTAACAAACTAAGCTAGCAATTCCTCTGCGCACCATGCCCTATTTATTTTGAAAATAAATGTGCAATATAATTTTGCAATTTATGCACTTGCCTAAGAGGATTGAATATTTGTAGAATTATGCGGCTGGGTTCAAGACGGATCCGCACCAGAAATCGCGCTCTTGTACCGCGGTACCATAACCATGGCTTCTTCAGTTTTGGTTTTTAGCTTGCGTTGTATATATTGTCGTCGGCATTTTGCAAACGTTATTTACGTTTCGGGGCTGTCGTGTTGCGATTTTTTGAGATGAGGAAATTCTGTTCGCATTTGAGGCGGACCAGGAAGTCCGTAATTTTCCCGACGGTACGAGCCTTACTCGGGACCGTGTGTGGTGTTATTTCGCTGCTGACGTCACGTATCCACGCCAACTGTATGACGGGAAAATTATCAGCGCACGGAAAGTGAAAGAAAAGCTTTTCTCCGAATCCGGCCAATAGTAATTTAGGCAGCCGATTGCTGGGAGGGTACCTTTAGAACGCGCGACACTAGAGCGCCGACGTTAGAGCGCGCGACGCGAAGGCTCTGCGACAGTAGCGCGCTTGATACCAGAGCGCATGTCACGAGAGCGCACCCCAGTTGAGCGAACACTGCAAATTGTGGGATGTACCCGCGGCTCCACAGACAGAACTAAATTGTGCGACTCATCGAATCGGAGCATTGGCGATTTTCGATTTATTAAAGATGCCTTTAATAAAAAAAATAAAAATAAAAAGGGTACGGCTCCTTCTAACCAATTGTTTGCTGACATAGAAGAGAGAAGGGGGCAAGGGTAATGCCTGCAGTTGGGCGGAGCAGCGAGTCTAAGATTTCTTCACGGTGGTGCGGTGCGTCTCTCGGATATACAATAAATGTTTGCTTTTTGCTATATTTGGTCTATTTTTGACAGGCATTTGGACCCCTATCATTTTGGCGGTTATTGGGACGTTTCTCGCATAACTTTAATAGTATTTTGACGTCCATGACCGTAATGGAAAAAGCTCACCGCTAAAAAAGTTCAGTAAAACACTCATCGAAGGAAAGCTCAGCGCAGTTTTATCGGATGCAAAGCTTTCCAGTCTTTTGACGGATACAGGAAAACCTCCCCTTCAAATCTGTGAGATATAACATCAGAAAACTAATGGAGCTATATAGATCAGCTGCATTTTTTTTTCTGCGGAAATATACGCTACAGATAATCCTTTTTTTTTTTTTTTTGCTGTCAGTTTTTTGAAACATTTCTTGGTTTGTTACACGAAAAAAATTCGTCGACTCATTTCGCAATGTCCTTGCCGAATGCCACGGCGTAAATCCCCGCCAATTTTACATAAAGCACGCGATGCCCGAAGAAGTGGTTGGGCCACTCGCGCTTGACTGGTTGTGCGCTCTCGATGTGCTCTCGAGTCGCGCGCGCTAACGTCGCAGCGCTTTCGAGTCGTGCGCTCTAACGTTGCGGCGCTCTCATGTCGCGCGAGCTAACGTCGTGGCGCTCTACTGTCGGCGGTCTAATGTCGGCGTTCTTCTAACGTGCGCTCTAGTGTTGTACAGCCCCATTGCTACCTATACCACCGGCTGTTGAAAACGCTCGAGGTCGTGCTCCCTTATTGAACTTTACGCGAGGTTATAATAATAATAGTACCTCTATTTTTTTCCAAGAAAAACAATGTTGAAAAGGTGACACGGAAAGAAAGCTGTAAAAACAGCTTGAAGAAACGCGGGTCATCTAAACCAGCAGTCGCGATGCAGGCACCGACTTGTGACTCGGTGGCGAGAGCCTGCTAAGAGCTACACGAGTCAGCGTTACTCACGCGGCTCGCCCCTCACCAGAGTGGAACAAACAATATGGCGAATTTGGTGGGGCAAAACGCTTTCCCGAACCCACGCAGGGACGATGGATAGAGGGCATGCGCACTAGGTGTTTCAAGAAAAAAAGGTGGACTACAGATTTGAGACATTTAACGTGCTAACACTGCACTAATAACTAGGCACAGAAAGAAAGGCGCTGAATCCAGAGACTTTATACACAAATAGTTTACTCCCACATGTGCCCCATGTAGGGAACACCAGGTGGGTTTGGATACAGGCACCGGACGTGTGCAACTACGCACACTGGCATCAATTCACGCTTAGTATATACTCCTTGGCCGGCTTGTCTCTTCTTCTCCAAGTACCTGGGGTCACGCCAAGCGGCCAAATTTGCCAGGCAGGCTCAGTCCATTCTGTAATACTTTTTGCGAACCCCAGGATTCTTGGACGACGGTGCCTGGCCCATCCCCACCCTCACGTGGCCTTGGGTCAGTATACACGGAGCGCAAAAACATTCGGTGCACTCCATCTGGCCGTCCGCTGAACGTTATACACCTACAGGGAGTATAGAGAAACCACGTTAGTTATACAGGCATATAATTCGATTGAAACAAAACTAATTGAGAAAAAAGTTTGCATTGAACGAAGTCATCTGTCTGCCTCCCTACAGCGCTCTGTTGAGCTTGATAAAAAAGGAGGTGCGACTCAATAAACAGTGTACGCAAAGTTGTGGCATGCGGTTTAGAGAGGCTCGTTTTAACGAACGCCGTCTCAGCGACAACAGATTGTCGAATCGCCTCAAAACTCCGCTTAGAGAAAATGGCGACTGCCGGCATGCTGCTCTCATTGTTTCCGATTCATTAGCCCAGCTTGCCGAACCGTTGGCGGCGCCCAATAGAAGCATTCTTTTTCGAATTGCTTGAATAAGAATGCAACCTTTCACCTATTAAAACAAATTCTGTAATAAATCCATTCCCATAATATGCTTGCGCTGATCTTGTAGCGGTATTCGTACATTACGTGGCAGTGTTAGCCCGAACGCGACATTGGCGCTTTTTACTATTTCTGCCCAGCAACATGTATTGTCTAGCACTAAGCTCTGCCACTTAGGTTGAATACTCACATTAACAGTTTTCTAAACATCATTCACTTCTAAGAAAACAAAACGAGAAAAACCAGCGATAGTTTGTCCTTGCTAACTGTGTGGCAGTATACCTAAAATCTGTTTGCAATTAAAAATTACAAACGCGTTTCATGTTAAAAAAAAATCGCCTACGTTTAGTTTATTCTTTTATTTTAATGGCTCAAAAATACTTTAAAGCGGCAGCACGTGCTATAGCACCGATTTAGCAACGTTGAACTATAACACGACACGCTTCGATAGCCGCACTCGATAAATAATGCTCACAGAAAGGGTATAGCTTATATATTGATGCAGGATGCGGTTATCCAGGAGCTAAAACGATCCACTAAAACTTTTTTTTAATATCGACACACACAACTGCTGCCTTCTCACCTCATGCGGTTGTTGGGATGTGTAAATATAAATGTCATCTACATTTGTTGGCCATCATATAGTGTGAGTTACGCACACAATAATTTGTGCTCGCTGCTAGAAAACAGAGATCCGCTACAAGATGCCCGCGCCTGGTACATAGTTCTGTCTTCCAGCGATCCCAATTGAGGCAGGTTTGAGCGTAATAAGCCTGTCTCTTGAAGATGGAATGTTTTGTGAATATGTCAGTCAACCTCACATATTGAAGTCACCACATCTCGCGCATGTGTTCTAAGCTCCTTGATCAACCGAGAATATCTATGAAACGTACCTTCAATGGGTTTGGGGATGCACCGCAGCTCCGAAGTATGTTTCCTTTGCCACGGGCTACAGCCAAACAACCTCGACAGCTCAAATTCGGTGTTTGGAAGAGCGCAGCCTTGCAGCTCCGTGAACCGTACGCCCGAGGGGCTATACTCCGTTCCACCTTCAGTCCGAGCGCAGTGGACGCCACGAGCCATCCCAGCCGATCCAGCGCCGGGAGAAAGTCGCGTGACCTGCCGGTAAGGCGGGGCGACGCAGGGAGCTCAAGGTCGCATGACACTCTCTCAACGCCGCATTGGCTGGGATGGCTCCTAGCGTCCGCTGTGCTCGGACGGAAGGTGGAACGGAGTATAGGCTTGGCGAGCGCCAAAAAATAGGGCAGATTACGCGATAAGAGCTGAAGCTACCCGTAAGTCACGAGGTCGCTGCTGCCAAACCCATCGCCCGTCTCTCACAATGGGGATTTTCTCGGCTTATCCTCTCAGAAGAAGCCGGCGCAAAAAGGGACCCTTCCCCCCGCCTCGCCGTACTGCAAGACAGGAGAGAAAGGGAAAAAAAGAGGGCGAGGAGGACTTTCCGCCAGGCTGAAGAATATCTCTGCTGGTCCTCCTTTAAGAAAGGTCTCGGGTTTCGAGAGGCGGTGCGGAGAGAACCCGTGCTTGGAGCTGCTGCCGCTTTTAACTGAGTGTGCTTGTATATAGAGGGTTTCGCCGCTTAGTATAAAAATGTCGCTTTTTGCCCGATGTAATAATTTAGCCGTTGGCGCAGCCAGGCTGGAAAAAAAGGCAGGGACCGATTCTACAAGGAATTTGGATTTGA